AATCAAGACAAATCACAACAATCAAATGATACACATGACACACATAGTTGTTCCACAGATTTTTGTGTAACTGTCGCAGGTATCCCCATACTGAATTCCGGGTCATTTGGATTGAATATTAGGGCACAGGAGCCAAAAATGTACATTTTTGTCCGAAAATAGCGAAAAAGCCTTATTTTACACAATTTTAAAGTGGTGTATGTAAACAATTAGGCATGTGTCCAAGGTATCCTCAAACTAAATTTCAGGTCATTTGGTTTTAGTCCCAGGGCTCCAGATCCCAAAATGTATATTTTTTGTGTGAAAAATGGCCAATAAAACAATTTCAAAGGCCTGTTCCAAAACAAAATGAAAAAAAACCTCTGAAGGTATTTGCCCACTCTACCTCCAAACCAAGTTTTATGTCATTTGGCTGAAAAATGGAAGAGTTTAATCCATTTAAAAACATGTCAGGAGAAAGAGGAGAAACATGAGAGAAAACAGCGTTTCACAACACCACTTCGTAAAATAGTTTAAATTTACGGTAGTATTGGTGGTATGGTTATGTTGATTGTCTGTTATGTTGTTTACTATTTTACTGACGAAAATTACATACATAATCTAAAAACATCGTTCGTCTGCATATTTATGAAATATCAAAATTACAAACAGAAATCACAGTGTCCCTTTGCAGAAATAATGCTGCTGCACAAAATCCTGTTACGTGCCAAGAAATAAGTAACAGTTGGCAGGTACTATAAGTGTATTTTCTGAAGCCTTGTGAGCGTAAATCGTATCTAACAACAGGTCTAAACCGTTTTAACCAGTCTATTGTGTAGAAACGTGACATGCATGGCCAATCTGATTTTTTGTTCTGATAGAACTGGTCCCGGGAGTATGACGTTATAAAATAAAAATACCATGGCACAGAACCCCTGTTCCCCTTTTCATAACTAAAACTAGAACTAGAACTAAACAGATCTTCAACGGGATCCGTTAGTGTGCAGGGTTGTTGAAAGTTTTCCTGGTGGTTTAAAGGCATCCAATGCGATTTCAGGGCAGCAAAACTGGAAATATTCTGAATAAGGCAATCTTTGTGATATTGACACATACTGCTTCACATTAGCACATTAATTTTTTTAAATCAGCATTTCATACTTTGGGCATTTAAAACTGCAGAAACAAGCCCCAAGATGATTCCTTTATAATCAGCCCGGGGCCCTTCCGGTAACCATTTTCTGTCAGAATTTGGGGAATTTTTGCTCCAAGAGGTTCAATATACATTGGGATAGTGTGGTTTCAACTCAGCATGTAAATGAGCGACTAGAATATTGGCTTAGAAAATTGGGTTTCCAAGCCCTAAAAACTGCATATTGGATGCCTTTAACTTTTTTTACAGTTGTCTAACCTTACTAACAGTCAGAAAACGTTGTAATCTTTCCGGCCTTCAAAGTACTTTTCGAGAAATAAACGAAATGAAGGTACATTAAATTGGCATCACAACAGATTTTTTGAAACAATCTTATCCATGGGAAGAAACATACCTTTCAAACCAGTCAGAATTTGCTTCAGTTGGCACTTTTTGGACAAGAACTCTTGTAGAAAACCTCAAGTACCGGGTGTTGTCGTTTCTGTTGGGTGCGTCCTTCGGTAGCTGATCTGTACGAGTAATGCCGTGTGACAAACAACCCAAGATTGTTCTTATGTATGATGGTGGTGGTGATTGTCTGAAACTGGTTATTTGAATAATAGTAATATTTATGATCACAATGAAAATTATAATCATAATGCAGGTCTCGACATTCATGTTTTTTTTTCCTTCACACCTTCATTGCTACAAGAAAAATGCGAATTTGATGTCTATGGCCGCAGACTATAGTTCTTCCTGAAACCCCAATTTACAAGATTCAATTTTTCAGAGATCGAGTTTACCTGATGGAACATATAGCGGCGCCTTGATATAAGGCTAGCTGCCCAACATCCGGGCACTGAAATCAGACGACATTGCTGGCTTTATTTCAAAATACATAAAGATTGCTTTACGATTTTAGCAATGTAACTTTAGGGACTGAGAAGGTAAGTCTATTGTTTTATTGGATATTTGATGTAACCCACGAACTTTGGTGTCCCGATATCATTTTCTTGTCCCATGTATACTGAAGAAAGGTTGACACTTATGAATATGATTTCACGTAACTCAAACATTACCTTACCTAAGACAAGCTCAGATACTTTTAATTTACTGATGTCATGTCCTGAACCAATATCCTTGTATATAGGCCAATTCATATCCTCTGCTCTTCGGAAAAGAAACAATATCATCTGTGACACCTTGAACTGATGTTAACATTGTATCCATGTTCCATATATATTGTATAATCTATCACGCACAATTATAGGGTAGCGTTAGAATAAGGTATCTAGAAGTAGATTTTAGTATTGTTGTTATCTTTTGATTTAAACACTTGCCATACATTGTATCCATTGCAATTGTTGCGCAATAAAGATTGGATTGGATTGTACGAAGGCCCACAACGACACTTCCACAGCGCGCTTCCAAGGTACCTTCCATAGCGCGATTCTGCGAATCTTCCACAGCGCGATTCTGCGAATCCTCCACAGCGCGATTCTGCGAACCTTCCACAGCGCGATTCTGCGAACCTTCCACAGCGCGATTCTGCGAACCTTCCACAGCGCGATTCTGCGAACCTTCCACAGCGCGATTCTGCGAATCTTCCACAGCGCGCTGCCAAGGGACCTTCCATAGCGCGATTCTGCGAACCTTCCACAGCGCGATTCTGCGAATCTTCCACAGCGCGCTGCCAAGGGACCTTCCATAGCGCGATTCTGCGAACCTTCCACAGCGCGCTGCACGAGGCCCTAAAACCCCTCCCCTATTTTAGCGGACGGTCCCTTATAGCCAGCTCAGATACTGTACAAACGTAATCATATTTCAACCCCTATTAAAAGGGAAATGATTTATTATATTAAGTACGAATTTGTTGTGTTCTATTTTCTTTTCCTAGCGCACTGGACCAAGGTTTCTTTGTAGGCTATTCTCAACTTTTTTTTTACTTTGTGTGACTCAAGAAGTATAATTACTAGTAATAAAGATCATAGGTCTAACATGACATTGTTTTTTTAACATCTCTACATTTATTCAGCATGAAGAGTATTCTGCCCTTATGGGTTACCTGTCAGAATGTATCCAGATGTCTGTATCATAGAAAACTTACAAAAATGAAACACTTCACTCTTTCTTTTACAAAATTTTATTGATCCTTACAAACAACATTTTGCATGATATGAAGGTGTATTTCTTTAATTAACACTACTAGTAGGTTTAATTGATTATTTTCTTGCTTGAAGCTAGAAAGAAAGATTGTAAATGGGACCTTTTCTTGCATAAACGAGTATTGTCTTTACTAATGTCACTGTTAGGACTTCAATATCTCTTTTCGTACACTGCTTTGTTTTTTCCACTATCAAGGTCCCTTGGCAGCGTGCTGTGGAAGGTCCGCAGAATCGCGCTATGGAAGGTCCCTTGGCAGCGCGCTGTGGAAGATTCGCAGAATCGCGCTGTGGAAGGTCCGCAGAATCGCGCTGTGGAAGATTCGCAGAATCGCGCTGTGGAAGATTCGCAGAATCGTGCTGTGGAAGGCTCGCAGAATCGCGCTGTGGAAGATTCGCAGAATCGCGCTGTGGAAGGTTCGCAGAATCGCGCTATGGAAGGTACCTTGGAAGCGCGCTGTGGAAGTGTCGTTATGGGCCTTCGTAGGATTGGATTTCAGCCCTTGTGCTGCCCTCCTTGAGACAATGTTGATGCAAATAAAACAGTTAATTAAAAAATCATAACATCCATGGGCACTACAAATTACACAAGTCCAACCATCAATAGATCTATAGATGATCACACAACGAGTACTATGTAGTTTAATGAAGAATTTTATTCAACACCAATGTATATAATTATCTCTCTCATCCATACGTACAATAACACCCTAAAATCTATGATACTGGTCTTATAGCTTTAAACACTGGCATGTCACTGTGAGATATAGAAATAGTTGCAGTATAGCAGCAGTGGTTTAAAGTAAGAAACTTAGCTACTGTGTCATTCTTGGCAAATAACGTAGGTAATTTTTTCTACAAAGGCAAAGCTTTACTCGTATATTTCTACGTTAAAACACCAGGAATAGCAACCCAAGCAAACTCCGTTATTTTCATGATATGTACAAATCCAAACAAGTCACCCCTTTCTAAATCTACACCTAGCTGCCTAGTAATATGCTATTATTTACAACAGATTTAATAATATCTTTTAACACCGTGTTCTTTTGTTGACTTTGATGTTTCAAAACCTACACCCAATCATCTACATACAAGATCCGATACTCCATTCAATAAAAATTATAAATTTAGTACAGTAGCATCTTTTATCATTCTACTGGATATACAGCAGGAGAAATTGCACATAAACTGGTCACTACTTCATACGGCAAAGCAGTCAACAGGGGCACCTAAAACTCGTGTATGCTATATTTGAAAAAGACTAACATTATGTCTGTAAATTTACGTACTGGGTGTTTAGGTGTTACTGATATCACCAAGAAAGTTCACAAGTTAAGTCAACGAATGCATGATAGGTGCATAATACAGTACAGTTATCGAACTACATTTCTGCAAATTGGAGGGGGTATTGCATTGTGTGCAATGATCTAAGAAAGCTAGCCGCGTTACACCTCATCTTTTGCTTATTTAAAATTTATAAAAAATACTACTGATGGCAACATATCTGCGATGCAACATTATATCTCATAATCAAGGCTTGAATAATCAACACTGTGTATCAATATCATAGTATATCGTAAAGCTTCTCTTAGACTATCTATTTATGATGATCACATTTCCAAAACCGGGGCCCGGCCGGGCTGTTTCGATTAACGAAAAATCAACAATAACTATATGTCAATAATATACGCAAATAGTTCCCATTATTAATTGTTTCAAATTTTTGTGCTTTGTTGTCTTTTATATCATAGTTTTCTTTTTATAAGACTGTCCGGCCGGGCCCCGGTTTGGAAATGTGACCTCAGCTTCAGTAAGTCAGTCTCTCACAGCAGAAGTTCCTCCTCCGTCATGACGATGATGGTGATGTCACACGCAACACCGCCCCCTGGCGTCGTGCCCTCGCAAGTGTAGGTCCCGCCCAGCTCCGGCGTCATGCTGTCGATGCGCATCTCGTGTTTGAAGCCGTCAGACTTCTTGTGAAGCCCTTTGGTCGGTGGGATCATCTCTCCTTCGTACAGCCATCGGACGTTCTTGGCTGTGATTGTTTTCAAGTGAACAAAAATAACGTTATAGTTATCATCTTTGAAATACTATTCCATCTATGGGATGTTAAAACGTTGTACAAATGCGACTTGCAGCACAGTATATACATACAATATTAGCCAATCGCAATGCAATATGCAAGTGTTACATCATATGATATCTTATAACTTTGAATTGGAAAGACATCGTGTGTTTATTACAAACTATTTATCAGTTACGAAGTTTGTATAATAATTATGTAATTATGATATGATATGAATCTTTATTGCATGTTCTTGCCCAGATGGGCTAAATGCACAAGATGACATGCAGTATGCAAAACATGAGTATTGCATACTGGGACGCTATATTCTAATGCTAAATGCTAGGAATTTATACATTATAACAATACTATATACTACTAGTACCTATCATCTACTGTTAGTTGCCCTTTCTTCTCTCTTTTTGAAACATTTGGAAATATAATTACATAGTTCGTCTGCTATACATTCATTCTTGCATATCTTGTCTAAATGTAAGATATTGAGTAGTTCTTGGCGTTCATCTTTATATAATGTACAGACAAGTAGAAAGTGTATCTCGTTTTCAACATATGAATGATTACAGAATTCGCACGTTCTAATAATAAAGTTACAAAGTTCTGCCGACTAGCATAACTTGTCGATGGCCTCAATTGCAAGTTTAAAGACGTCACAATTACTACAAGTAGTACAATTTTGACTGGTATTTTGTATGGTGTGAAATTTGGCCTACCTTCCCCCTTGACCTCCAGGATGACCTGTTGCCCCCTGTGTGCCCGTACGGACGTGCCGGACATCAGGTTGAAGGGGTGCTGGGCCAGCTGCAGCCCCACTCCGTTCATCTCTGCACTCTGGACGGCCGTCTGCTTACCTGGACAGAAAATAAACCAACATTTCATTTTAAAACGTGAAAACGTGTCATTTCAACATTGTTGAAACTTTGAATATTGTAATTGTATGACTGACAATTAAGTAGCACTGATACAAGAGTTACTTTCCAAGGTAACACCTTTCCATAATGCTTGAAATATGAGCAAATTCTTTAAGAATTCTTGTCATGAAATTTAGAATACCTTTCGACGCATTTTTCATCACTTTATGAATCCATACAAGACCATATGTCTCTTATGTATTGTGTTCAACTAACTATGAGTTGTATTCACCCCAGTTCAATAACAAGTGAACACAACAAGCTAGCACGTCGGCAGAACGTACTGTGCCTACCTAAAAAGCCTGATTTTTCACGGTTTTCGTTGGATGTTTGGTCACCGTTGCATTATAATTTTGCCTGTTCCACAGGTTTTCTTTTCCGACAAAACATTTGGAAACTACAGACGGGATGTTAACCTTATATACGAGTATACGACCTTATACAATGTAGGAGAAGTTCTGCCGAAGTTCTATGCACAGTGCATTACGGGTTTCGCGAAGGTGCTGTTCGTTCTGCCAACGTGTTCAAAAAAAGCTGATTTGGGCCAAAAAAAAAGATGAAACGTAATACACATCAGCCTTACCATCCAGCATGTCGGCCAGGTAAGCCTGTTTGCCCATCGTTCTGAGAGCCTCACAGAACACGTCAAAGGCGAGGTCGTCCCGGGACGGCAGAAGGTCCAGGATCCGCTCGTTCCTCTCCTCACGGAGGGGCGCGTTGATGATGTAGTTACCCATGGCTTTGGTGAAGACCTGGAGAACGTATCCAAGAATCAAGTAAGTCGTGTGGCGTAGCGGCAGAGTGCGCGACTCGGAACTAAGAGTCCCGGGTTCGAGTCCTGACATGCCACCGATCTTGTGCCCTTGGGAAAGACACTTTACACGGCTTTCCTCACTTAGCTCAGGTGCTGTGTCGTCACCACGTCTGGTGATTACATGTTGGAATAAAAAAAGTAAGTCCCACAGAAGGATAAAGGAAGCAGTCCACGTCCAGTTGGAACGTGCCGGGATGAATCGTAACGAAGGTTGGGAACTGCCCAGGTTCTATTTAATCCTACTCCACAAGGAGGCGGGGGAGGTCAGAAGAACTACACAAGTCTCGACCTAGTCTCGTGTTCTCGCCTAGTCTCGTGTTCTCGCGAGACTAGGTCACTCCGTGATCAAGATGTACAGTGGACATCGAAAATTTGGATGTACGTGTTTTAACCTTTTTAGAAACTTCAATGATTTAGGATATTCTACTAACTGGAGAACCTTCGTGCGAAATAATGTGACGGCGTACACACCAATTCTTCCACGACAGGGGTTGTGCATAGTAAAAAGAAAAAAAAGGGACGAAAAGGTTTCGAGGGTTCAGGTTTAAGTTCACATTTCTCATAATCTGCTCCAAAAATCTTTGTGTTTTTGGTGACAATTTCTTCGGACTTAAGGGTTACTTTCGTTACTTTCGAATATACTTTCACTTTGAATGTAGTGAGGCGATTTCGCCAAATTGCAAGAAAGTCTAATCTCCAAACAGGCAAGCAAGTTAGGCTGGCGCAAAAACAAAGATACCATGCAACAAAAAAGAGAACCCGATAAAAACATCCAAAACACCCCAAAAAATAAGCCGAAGCCTAAATTCTAATCTGCTTGGAGAGTACCCAAAGCCTTCTTTGTTATTATTATATGCCTAGGTTGACATCACATTTCCAAACTGGGGACCGGACGGGCTGTTTTTATGAACGAAGAACTAAAAATTCATATCAAGAATATACAGGAATAGTGCCCACGGTTATTATCGAAAACGTTTCTGTGTTTCCTTGTCTTTCATATCGTACTTTTCGTTCCATAAGACTGCCCGGCCTGGCCCCGGTTTGGAAATCTCACTTCATTAGTGCCTAAATCTACCACGTCCTTTAACCACCACATGCTTGTTTGTCACCGTCTTGTCCCCGTGCTCATGCCATCATGCCGCATGCTTCTACCGTCACCGCGTGCAGGTCGCACCTCCCGATAAGACAACTGGGTATGATTAGTGATACCTGAGGCTTGCCGACTACCTGGCTCTGGGACAGGTACGTGATGACAGGCTCCGGGGACATCTTATCCACCAGGACGGCACGGTGACGGATCAGCTGCAGCTTCTTCGCGCTGGTCATCCCTGTCAATCAAGTAAGACAAGATATGATAACTCCTGCTTTGCTTGCTTGTCTGGTGCCGACATGAATATAAGTATAACTTGAGTGTGTCGCCACCACGTCTTGTCACTGTATACGTATGTTTCAATGTTTCGATAAATAAATTAAAAAAATTAAAAAATTAAGTAAGACACGTGTCAATGAATAACAATTCCCTTACATCACAGATTGCTACAAGGAAATCCTTAATGTGGTAAGTTTATGACTTTTAACAACACGTTTGATAGGTGTGGAAACTGTTAACATTCTGAACATTCTAACAAAACTGTAATGTTATGTAATTAAGTTACTGGATTGTAAAAAAAAGGAAGTATAAAGTCAAGTCCTGTAAAATTATGATGTTTAACAGTTCATTTTTCGATGGACATTATACTGTATTATGCATCTGCTAGTACTTAGCAGGTGTCTAGATCTTAATGAAAATGATGTGCTGTTTATATTCATGATTATTATACATATTAAAAGTGCGGTTGTGGACACGGGAATATGGGAAAACTTAACAAGTGATAGTCTTCTAGGCCTCAGAAGCGTTTGGAAAAGGGTAGAAATATTAATTGCCTAAATAGACACATAACATGCCAGGAAAGCTGGTCCGCTAATTACGATTTGCTGCCCTGAAGCCGGGCTTGGGCTTTACCACTCATAGAAGACAGCAACACAAATAACAACGGATGGATGCGGGTTTGAAAGAATAGAGAGAGATTTACCGTCTCCCTCCAGGGTGTCAGCCAGCCAGTTCAGGTGGACTCTCGTTCTGAGCGCTTCACAGAAATGTTCGAACGCCTCGTCCCCGCGTGGCGGCAGCATGTCCAGCATCTTCCCGCACCTCGCTTCCTCCGCGCGCAGGCTGGAACGGGAACGGTTGGAAGTTGTGAGAACATGTGATTGCGAGAGCCCATAGCACACTCAGACCCAAAATTATACATTGCACTGGAAACTTTGGGCCTGAGTGTGTTGTGGGTCTGGCATCCAGGCTACTGTCACACATTTAGAACCTATGACTGACCGACCACCAACCAACCAACCAACCAAAGTTACGTTGGCTGAAGTTCGGTTGCATTTTCTTACCAGGTTGAGGCCACGCCTATATATCTAGACGAATCAAAACGAATTTGAGGTAAATTTGAGTCAACTCTGCTGACCTACCCGAGTCACTAGCAAAACGAACATCCGTCCACACCCAAATTTATTGAACATTTTAGGTCGTTCGGCTGTCGCAGTCGTACAGTAGCAACCACATGCACAGCCGACCTTGCTGCCGACCTTCTCCTAACCATGATTGAAGGGAGTTTTCGGGAGGTCCAATTCGGCTATGTGTGACAAGGGCTTCAGAATAGCAACTCACATTCTTGTGTTGGGATTACAGAAATCAACAGGCTTGAAACGTATGTCGTATGAAACCTGACCTCTGACCTCCATTCCTGATTTTCGTGTTTTTAGACCTTTGAACGGCTAGGACTTTGAGTATAGGACTATAACTCTGTTTTGACGCATCGGACTTTTATGTTTACTGTATGTTGTTCACTCTTGTTTTACTGCATGTAACAATGTCTTGTCGTGTGATTTTGCTGGTTCCCCTTGGAAAACAGCTAATGTAAGCTGAATGGGGCTACCCAGCCGTCTTATGGTGAAATAAAAAAAATAAATAACAACAAAAACACGCATGCAAATGAGACTCTAGCTGTACCTGTTCAAATCGTCCACCTGGGCTGGCGTTAGGACCTCCATTTTGAGCAGATACTCAATGATCTTGTCCGTGTCCTTGACGTTGTTGATGATGATGGATCTGAAGGCCAGCAGCATGTCTCGTCGGTCCTTCCTCATAGCTGCACGGCGACAGAAGTTATTAAAAAGAATTATAAACACACCATAATTACCACGCAAGTTCACAAAAAAAGGTTAGATAAGAATGATAACTAGATATCGTGCTGGTAACATCTAGAGATTCTTGCAACATTTGAAAGCTATAATTTCTTTGATCCGAAGTTCTATGGGAAGGTTGTCAAAGGCAGGCTCCCATGTGGCCACGGTGAAGCCCAATTGTATATCTAAAGGAATTTTGCAGTATTTTCAGTTTTAGTGTCTTTTAACCCAAAATCCTATTTGCAAAAGGTGATTTATTGGTTTCTACCATCCCGCACACGTAGGGGTGGTATTTGACACAAATCCATGTTCACGTTTGATGACTGCCTATTCCACCAGGAGCAAAGCTATACAAAATGCCTAACTATGGGCGCGCAAAGTAACAATAACGTCCTAGAACAGTCTTACCGGATAGACTTGTTATACAGGCGTATCGCCTGATGCAGGGAAGAGTTTTTGAGTCTTTGTGTACGGGCTGCTAGCAATGTGAGCGCCGTGTCATTTTTTCTCAGAGTTCTCCCTGTGGCCGTTTGCCTAGCCGCTTGAACCGTGTAAACATATCAAACCTACCTGTGTCGACAGTCGGCTCTTCCAGCAGGTCAGCCAGCCAGCCGGAGTCCGGCAGCATCCTGAGCGCCACGATGAACATGAGGAACGCGCCGCTCTTCATCGTCAGGATGATGTCCAGCAGCTTCTCGTTCATCTCACGGGTCGTCTTCAGCTTCTTGATGTCCTGCGCCACGTTGATGGAGAGGATGTCCTTGGACACCAGGAAGTCTATGATGGGGATGGGGTTCATGTTGTCCACCAGGGCCTGTCTGTGGGTGATCAGTAGCTCCTTCTGGTGGGACTGAAGCTCTGGAGTAAATAATGAAACACATGTCTTTAACTTATTCATCTTTTCTCCCTTCCTTCCTTCCTCCTTTCTCTCTCTTTCTTTCTTTCTTTATTTATTTATTTATTGGAGTTGCAACAGGACATGACATGTGGTAGCCGGTCAAAAACAAGGCTGGTAGCAACTACCACCGACACATACAGCATAATACAAACTAATAATAACGATACTATACAATATCAACATCATACAATGACAATACAATATAAATATGAATAAGCAAAGGTAGAAATAGGCCGGTTGAAAGGTCTGTTGGTTTTGTATTTTTAGCAATCAGGATAAGAGGTGGTTATTGCATTTGGCCTTAGAAACAAGCGGGTTAACCCATCAGTCTTTAGACTAGTTTCTTTGGGAGCCCACAAGAATACAAATAATAGATAACAAATAACAACATAAATCAAAGTGCAGGTAACATAGGTAGGTAAATAATAGATAAGTCATACATTAGCAAGCATTATGATAGGGACATGTCGAAGGAACGTACAGAAATTCATAACAACATAAATACTAAATAATTACACAAATGATAAACAAAGCTCTAGTTGTGATGATCTTTTGCAATGTAACACAAAGCAAATGGCACTAAAAGTGCCGTTCTGTGGCCATTGGAAGGTGTTCAGCACCAAGGACAGGGAATATGTTTGATCAACAATATATACATATAATGATGATAATAACCGGGCCGCTGTAAAGATCAAGACATGTCTTAATTGATTCAATGTGACGTGAAAAATGTAATACGTCAATTCTGGTGCCTACTACACTTTTCCTGAAAGTCATTATTTTGAAATAAGAGGATTTTAGTAAAAGGAATTAATGGAAGTATTAGTACATGATCTTTACCTCTTCCCTCCAGAAGATCGGCCAGCCACGCGGCGTCACAGTCCCTCCGCAGTCCCTCACAGAGAGCGAAGAACGCGTCGTCGTCCTTGGTGGGCAGGATGTACAGGAGCTGCTCGTTGGCGCCCTTCTTGGTCATCTCCCGATCCACCAGCCCGAACTCTGTACGGGTGATGGCCTTACGCAGCAGGAGGTGGTACAGCATGCGCTCCGGGATGATGTGTTCCAGCAGGTGGAACCTGTACCGGATCAGCTCCTTCTTGTACTTTTCTGACATACCTGAAAATTCATCCAGAATTCATAGTGTTAGACGATTAAATTCACTTGTATGGTTTACCTTTACCTTTATGCGCCACATGCATTCCACCAGGATACAGGAAACACAAAATAGCGGCATTTAGCCTGCCCATCACCTCAACCGCGACGGAGGCCGACACCGTTTACCAGATACCTTTGACCCAGTGTTGACGTCACACTTCAGAGAAGCAATGTGACAAGTCTCACTGGGTCAATCTATTGAAGAAGCTCTAAGTGAGAACAATCCCTTGTGTTGGAACAAAAGTTTTAACTTTAAACAATGGTATCTAGGTTGGTTGGGGTTAGGGTTAGGGTTAGGGTTGGGATTGGGGTTAGAGTTATTGGTAACATGTTATTTTGATATTTTTTGAATGACATAGTGTACGCATCGTTACCATCTGGAAGGGAGACGAAGTCGGGGGTCTTGGAGAGGAGAGGGGGCTTCTTGAAGTCTACGGAGGGGCTGGTGGAGAGGTGGGAGGGGCTCTTGGAGTGGTAGGAGGGGCTCTTGGAGTGAAGGGAGGGGCTCTTGGAGTAGAGGGAGGGGTTCTTGGAGTCCTTCTTGTAGACAAAGCTAGGGTTCTTTGTACCTCCTCCCTCGAGAAGGTCTGCCAGCCAGGCGAGTTGGCACGAGTCCCTCAGCCCGTCACAGAAGGCGAAGAACGCGGGGTCTCCCCGGGACGGCAGCATGTCCAGGATCTTCTCCACGGCTTCGGGCTGTGACTCCGACCGCTTCAACTGACAAACAAGTACACAATGTTATAGTTCATGAACTATTAGTCTTCACCAGACTCCTTTGCAGGCGGACTAAATAGTCTAAGTTGGCCTAGCAATGGACATAATTGTCCAGGGGAGTTAGCTGGCACTGGTCCTACTATGGCCAGCTAACTCCCCTGGCCAATTATATCACTTTTAAGTGGTATAATTTAAAAATGGAAACTAATGCAAGTACGTGGAAGATGGTACCCTTTCAATAAGTCCTTTATAAAAATATGAGTTACAATTTTTATGGGTTCACCACACCACGAAGTGGTGTGGTGAAACCATATTGCTTTTTCTGATGTTTCTTCTCCTTCTTCTCCTCCTCCTCCTCCTGCCATATCTTTAAATGGATTCAGCTTCTTCATTTTAGGGCCTAAGGTCCTGAAATTTGGTATGGAGGTACAGTGGGCAAATACCCCTAGGCGTTTTTTAAATTATTGTGATACAGGCTTTTAGAATGGTTTTATTTGAGTTTTTTGGCTGTGTTATAGCAAATGTATTACTGTGTTAGTCTGCCTTGTTTACCACGTTTGGGCATGAGTCATCAGAATGGAATGCAGGGCATCAACCAATAGGCATGCAGCTTTCCTCTATACTTCTTGCTGATTGGCTGTTGGGATTTAACTTGATTAACACCTGCACAGAAGCATTTCCATACTGACAGTATGTCTGTATTCAAGTGTTTTGGTAGGTATTTCAAGCTTTCCTGCTCCAGCATTGGAATGCCGGGCATGGACGTTTTTTTTTTATTTTGAAAATCAACAGTTTGCATTATGCAATTAAAAATCCTAACCAATAAAGTAGGGAATAGCTATCCAACTGTTGTTGTAGTTGTATTTTACTTCATATTATAGTTATATCAATGTAAATCATTGTTTTCCCTTGTGTTTCCCATTCTTTCCCTGCCATGTCGTAAAATGTGGTGAACCCATCGCTGTATTTGCTCCAAAGCAAATATTGGCCTTTCTAGTATTATGTTATTTTATCAGCAACAGCATTTACATTTAGCATTAATCTCATTTCTTTTTCTTACGGTTTAAGCTAAATGAATGTGTGACTGTTTGTTCACATGTTTATTTGTTTCTTTCACGTAAGACATCGCATACCTCGCCTGCAATAGGGCTTGTGATGATGCCTCTGTCCAGTAGATAGTCTGTCATCAGGTGCGGGTTGACATGTTCCACGATGGTCGGACGGTGGCGCTTCAAGGCCAGCTTGTGTTCTTCAGACATCGCTGTCAGCAAAACAAAACAAAAATATTTTTTAAAGTAATGTACAAGACAAAATAAATCTAAATTGAAGATCAATGACATGGTTCTTAACGGTTCTGTTGTAGTTGAAGTGTAGAATCTCGAAATACGATGGCTTGCAGGCTTCTTGGAAAAGCTGTCACGATTTTTTTTAAATAACTTACCTGACGATTTGAACTCCTGCATGGCGATTTCCTTCAGCTCCCAGTCATCGCTGTAATACTTCTTGTGCTGCGGGAAAACACGCAAATAATCACGTTCCTTGCTGTTGATATCTTTCTTTATTCAAATTCAACAAAAATACACGGTAGTGTACTATACAGCACACTAAGCATTTTTTTGTATTCATCAAAACATAAAAACATGACAAGGACAGTGTGACGATGCACTCAAGTTTATAACTTATATTAAAAGCGCCACACAATTGTTGTGCTCCTTACATTATAAAGCAAATAAAGTACAACACTAAATGCAGTAATGAATACAAGAAATACTGTATGATAGAATATAATATTATATTTCATGATGTGCATCAGATCATTGCCATATTGTTGTATTTACATTAATGTACGGGTCAATTTTATCACTAGCACTCTTTCATCTGGCTCAATATTGAGATACATCGTCCGTACTTATTTAGTAAGAACAATACATAAATGTAATGATGACGAACTAAAAGTCATTGAAGAAAAGTAGTGAAAGCTACTTGAAACGTCTCAGTTTTTAGAATTATTCAGTTGCTTGAGTAGCTGTTTTCTTGTGTATCTCATAATTATATTACCTGGATGTTTAATCTTCATCGACGTAACTACAAATAACATTATAGGCCTTGGGTTTTTTTCTCCATGAGAATAAAGAGATAAATCGTACGTAGGTGAAGGAGCTAGACATCCAGGTAATAAGTCACTGACAAGAGATAGTGGATGCTATCTGAAACGACTGACCGTTTCCAAAATCATATCCAGTTGCTTGAGTAACTGTTTTTGTTTTGGCGGAGAATAATCCTACCTTTTTCTTGCCGCCGTATCCGCAGAACTCTGCGCAGGAGCCACAGCATGGACAGCAGGAGAGACAGCAGGCACAGCACAGTCCCCACCAGTGTTCGCACAGCCCCCTCCACCAACAGCAGAAACACAGCTGTGCACAATCATACAGAAAATATGTGTCCGTCATTCCACAAAAACACAGGGTAAATACGCAGTCTGTGGGTGGCTTATACAATATCAGACTTTAAACTGCAAGAAAATATTTTCATATCTTGATATTACAATTACGACAGTTGATACAATTACATGTTTTCAATTACAGTTCCCATATATTACCGATATGATCCACCGTTATACGCTCGAATACATTTTCATGTATTTATGAATCAAAGAATACATTTTTATTTTTTGTACGTATCTTTCTCTCCGTTTACAGATAACACCGTGTACATTCAGGTGGTTTTCAAGGGTATTTTAAACATTGATGTACAAAATCACAAGAATAGATGAAGACTTACCAAGAACAGCAGGATGAGGAGCAGGAGGAAGAAAATGATGAAGAGAAACAGGCCCAGGGGAACACCGCCGACGTACGACCGGGCCGCGAAGCCGGCCTCCCGAGTCTTCGCCTCCACTGAGTCACTGTAAGGACCGTAACCACTGGCTGTCCTGCCTTTCACCTGAAATAGAGAGAACAGAAAAATTCTTATACCTTTTGAAACTAGACAAGCCATATATCATTAGCTCCATATGCTCATATATCTACAATTGTCTTAAGAAGCGAGAAGAAGACTAACATGCACGTAGTGGCTAACATTAGTATATATATATAGTTTTGATAAGATATTGCTGTAATTTTATTACTTCCGCTTTATTCATGACCTGTACTTAGCTTGTAAGAGCACAAACGTACAATACAGGTCTTTCATTCATTCATTCATTCATTCAATATATAGCAAGATTGCATATTGAGACACCAAATAATTAGTAAGTTTTAAATATTGAAGGCCTCTTCTTGATCTTCATTGCTACTTTTCTGTCTGTGTTTTTGCACTTTGATATTCAGTTCTGCTAATGAAATACATTTTCTTCTGCTAACGAAATACATTTCCTTTTGCTAACGAAATACATTTTCTTTTGCTAACGAAATACATTTTCTTCTGCTAACGAAATACATTTCCTTTTGCTAACGAAATACATTTTCTTTTGCTAACGAAATACATGTTCTTTTGCTAACGAAATACATTTTCTTTTGCTAACGAAATACATTTTCTTTTGCTAACGAAATACATTTTCTTCTGCTAACGAAATACATTTTCTTTTGCTAACGAAATACATTTTCTTCCTCTAACGAAATATATTTATTGACAACAACAAACTCCTATCACAAGGTTGGTTTTGATAAACGATAAAGACATTGAAACTTCAATATGTAGTTTTCATGTTAAAGAATGTTGTGATGTGGATATATGTTAGTGAAATTGTCTACCTGGAAGGTGTATGCTTGTCCTGCCGTCAGGTTCCCGACAACGGTAGCGGTTTCCGGTCCGACGTCCAACTCTTTCCTCTCTGCCGAGTTTGCGCCATTCTCGTCATCGTTAGTCGGGAAGTACCGGACCCGGTAGCCGATAACCTGACCGTTATGTGCCGGGACGTCCCAGCGGAGGCTGACGGTGCTGTCAGTAGAGTCAACTGCCTTCAGGTTTTTCACCTGCTTCGGTGCTGATTGTATAAATAAATTGTTGTTTTAAGGGTCTTATATATAGAAAACAGACACAAAGTGTACATATTTGGTAAAATCTAGCACAAAACGTTACCATGTTGAACATTATATCAAACACTCGTATTCCCAAGCATTATTCAGTGAAAAAACGAACATGAGATATCTTAGATTAGTGTCTAATCTCGCGGTTAGGGCAGGTGTTCTCTTCGGGGCTGCAGAAGCTCTTCCCCGCCCGACTCAGCTAGGTTCCCCGGCCGGTTTTGAACGACGCAAAACTCCTACAGGCGTAACACTCCTACCGGCATCTGGTCTGTTGAGCTAGACGGGGGAAAACTTTTAGAGCCCCGAAGATAGCCTGTCCCAACCACGATAGACTGGATACCAGGCTAGAGATATCTTTACGAATGAAGCGAATTAAGATGACTTACGTCCTTCTCCGGAGAACACCACAGCCCTGTCGCTCATGGGACCGGTTCCGTACGTGTTGAAGGCCTGGACCTTGGCCTCGTGCGCCACAAACACGCCTAGCGGAGGGTCGGGGCTGTGCACGTAGTGGTCCATGTTCGGGTCGGTCAGCTGTACCACCGTGAAGTCGTCTGTCGAACCGAGTTTCTTGAAGAACACCTTGTAGCCAAACCCGGGTCCGCCTCGATACTTCTCTGCCAAAGCCTGGGGAATTGGAACATGAAGATAAATTTCTATGCATCAACGAAGATTTAAAGCTGTAATATATAACATTACGATACAAAAAGTCCATTTTCTGTACAAAGTAAGTTGAGTCAACCCTACTCCATCGCAAATAAGTACCATTCAGGACGTGCCAAAATATGACGCCTTACAAGTGTGTGTGAAAGCCATGTTTGTTTACATTCATGTATTTTGTGGTTCATGGCTGTTTCAGCGCCAACCATAAATGTCAGAAATGTGAGATAATTGCAGAAATATATATGTTGAAAAATGGAAGTAAATTACAATTTACGAATATTTCTTGGACAAAAATATTTCAATTTCTGGTGCGAAAATTGTTCATAATGACGCTAATACCAAGGCGTTCTGTTTCCTGACAATTTTTTTTTATTCATTCCAACATGTAATCACCAGACGTGGTGAAGACACACTCAAGTTTTTTCAACTCATATTAATGCCGCCACCAACACAGGGGACAAATACATTACAGGACAATACTCATTTACACCTAAGATAAGTGAGGAAAGTCCCAAGGGATATCAGGACTCGAACCCGGGACTCTTAGTTCCGAGTCGCGCACTCTGCCACACGACGCCTGACAATTTGGCAGGTAGGTTACATGTGCAATTGCAACCTCTACCACACTGTTGTATCTAGTATAATTAAGGTACAGGGTTGTCTTACTTTCCATCTGATCACCAAGTCTCCGATGTCTCCTCCGCCTCCTCCAACTCCGCTAACCTTGGCGACAGGGGCTGGAGGAAGGGAACAGTGGTAGGTTAACATGTGTATGATTAAACTCTTGAAATCATGGTTAATGCAAGACAAGGGATAGGATTCGGCCTGTATGCCGCAAATAAAACAGAAATGCCGTCAAATGTGCACGTGCACAAGTGACCAACTCTGTAAAGCTAAGGTCCCAATTGGGAAAAGGGGCCCTGGCGGGTAGTTCCCGGGCTGTTTTTACCACTTTCGGGCGGGACCCCGACGTGGCCCCGCGGGGCACCCTGTGGCTACCGGGCTATTTTTTGGCCCGTAGGGGCCCCGATAAGAATTTAATTCTGAGTTAAATTCTACCCGGGCCCCGCTGACAAAAAGACACCGTGACCTCATCGTGAGAACACCGAGAGGTACCCCTCCGGTTGCCGGCATTCCACCGGGACACATTTCTTACGTCCCAGACCAGATGAACAGAATAAAGGTGTGTACTTCGTAAACCCGGGTAAAATGTGTGACCTCACAGATCAAATGATCACAACAAATACGTGAATTCTGCATTACGTATAGGTCAATACAAGACATCGTCAGAGAATCTGCCGGGTACCTCCCGGGTGCCTGCCGGATACCGACCAAAGAGGGTGACAAAATTTCTGACAAAATGCTACTGAAGGAAACTTTTAATTGTGACCACGACAGCCGATGCCCGCTCGACTCCTGAACCCGGCCGGGGCCAGCCGGGGCTACATCCCCGACGGGTACCGGCGTAATTGAGACCTTAGCTTAAGCCAGCCATCTGGCCATAACGACTACTCTCCAAGCAGAGGTTGTGGGGGAATGATCGTTAGCTTTTTATAAATGGCCCCTTTTTGTCGGTACCCCGTCGGTGGCCGGCGACCTTCTCTGGCTAATGGATACTGCCTGGCCAATTTGAGACTGTCTTTTTGCCACCGAAAGGGATCTGCTTGGAGATTACATAACGACCGCTATTTCTCGATCCTGAGCATTTTTCCCCATAGACTTAAGCAAACTAGGGCGGAAAATATTTTTGGTGATAAGTAGCGATAAATCTTGATAGAATTGGCCAGCATTCAACAGCCTTTGCTCAATGTAAAATGCCAGCTAGGTTGCTTTTGGTCTATGGGGCAGTCTATTGTAAAATGGGTACAATCTTGTTCTCTGTCTTGACTTGTCTTGTCGCCATGCTTTTTGTACAACAATACCACTTGTATAGAGAGGAAACTGGCAGGGCGTAACGTCTCACCGTCTGCGTGTGTGCTGTAGACCGGGGAGGGGAGACTGGGTTCCCCCAGCCCGATGGCGTTCATGCCCAGCACGCGGAACTCGTAATCGTTGCCTGGCAACAGCTCTGACACGGTCGTCTGCATTCTGTCGTCTGCAATGACCTCTGCTGACCCTGTGGGGCGAACAAAGAAACCAAAAATTATATTTTGATGATGGAAAAAGGCATTTCATATTAGTGACCCTCGTTATATATAACATTTATTGCAAATACATGCCCGATGGGTAATTGTAAATACAAACAACATGTATGAAAAAAAGAAAATACAATGATATAACAGACTTAGATCAATGTTGAATTGCATTCTACAACATACATGGTACTAGTTTTGTGGGGTTTGACTTCTTCTTTTGAGGCAGTGGGAGACGAAATTACCCACTTCTTCTATGATAGTTGGATTCTTTATTTTAGTCATAAAATTGGTTTCTCATGGTTAGGAATAGTAGGAAAGTGAGGGCGCATTTTGGATACGATGGTAAATACTTGGTTTCTGATATCATTATAAAATGAACAATTAGTGATGAAATGAAATGTCTTCCACTAGTACTGCATTTCAGGAGCAATATTTACACATCCTTCTGCCAGATACAGATAGTTTCATACATCGCCTTTTTTTTCAATTTGTGGATGGCATAGATTCTATATATGAGTTCTGACCTGACTCCAGACTTGTCCAGCTCCGGTCCGTCTGTGTTCTCCCCTGGACGATGTACCTGGTCACAGGACTGTGGTTATCACTCCCGGCAGTCCATGCGACCCGACAGGTCCTGCTGCTGACGTCACTGGCGCGAACATGGAGAGGTGCATCCGGGGATGCTGTCCGTACGGAGGAAAAAAGAAACATATTGTAGTTATGTGTTGAACAATGATTAGATGTCCCAATATACCGAGTACATATATACAGAAAGGAGGTATGTTTTTGTCCTTCCAGAAAAAGCAATGACACGTCTAGCTTCTTACTTCTGTGTCTTCTTACTTTCTTCTCGTCAACGACCGTTTGAAACGGCCCATGTAATGTCACAGAACGGCAGACTTTAAGTGTAGTGAATTGTTTCGGTGTTGCAGAATTAAGCCTTTGGACCCGGATTCGAATCCAAGCATGTGCTCTTTCTTTTTTTTACAAATATCTTCACTTTTTTTCTCGATTCTGTTGTACGTTTCCAATTGAAATGTTCCTTTTTTATAAATAAATACGTCAAACGGTGGTTTTACGTGTTTTTGCCTCTGAAAGAAGTTATGATACTCTCGGATATGACATCAACCACTCAGCAATATATATGGCATCGACTGATTCTAACGACCATTCACGAGATGTAAACGTGCATTTCTGACAGCAAAATATATTTCACAACGACGTTAAGATGAGGTTGTATGTACGTACCACGCACGGTGAGTATGGCCCTCTTCTCTCGGCTACCCGTCCTGGTCTCCACAGAGCACACATACGTGCCCTCCATCACTTTGGTCGCCCGTAGGATCTTCAAGGAGCCGTCTGAATCCTAAACACAGGAAAACGTACGTACAAAAAATTATTGAACTTTCTGGTCATTTCTTTACAAAGGAAGTCAATTAAAATAATTGAAATTCGGGAAGTAGACGACTAACAAGTGTGTTTAAATGGAAACACAGGTGTCAACCAAGTTTGTTTACATTTTGATAGTTCGTGGTGCCACCACAAATGGAGTGTGCCTGGTGCGGACTGTTTAAGCGTCAACCATATGTTGAAAAGTGGAAGTAATTTACAATCACACAAGACCTTTTCATTTAAAGTATTTCAATTTTTAGTCCATAAATGTTACACAATGCCCCTTTTATAGATAACACTGCTGTAGAAAAATGATAATTTTAAAGCCTTGAATGAAATGCTTTAGCGTAGGCTAAGTAGGATAGAACATGTAGTGACCTTGACGTAGTGGTCGCTGGACAGGTCGACGCGGTGGCCGTTGTGAAACCAGGTTTTGATGACGTCTGAAGAGGAGCTGCCGCTAGTGGAGCACGGGAGGGTCCCGTCCTGCTGGTAATCCACCGTCAGCCGCGAGGGGTCGCCACTAGACCGTGAGGATCCGTCTGGAGGGAAAAGTCAAGTAACAATGGTGTGATATGCATATGGATCAAATCGTTACAAAGATTGAACGATTTGATCCAATTCACACCATTGTTACTTGACTTTTCCCAAAGTCGTATCTTACTTTTACCAAGTCGTATCTTACTTTAAAGAGAGTTAAAGTAAGATACGACTAAAAACTCTTATGGTAGAACGACTACTTCGCTGGTGCGTTTAAGTTTCGTGTTTTAAAGCCATTTCCAACATTACATTTTTGTTCAGTTTGATCTGCAAGCTTTATAAGGCCACAGCAAGTAATTTTATGGATGACATCAGCGCGCGCATTGATTTTCGCTTGATTTTGGAAAAAAACAACAAGAAATTGTGTTGCCTTCTGACAGTGGTCACCATTCCGAAAATGGGCAAAGATGTCTGTTGCCATGCCGGAAGGTGAATGGCAGATAACTATGAAGACAGGAGACAAGAAAAGGCTCTGATTTAATGTTTTGTTTCTTCCTTTGATGCAGTGATATGTGATGCTGGCTGTGTATATGTGATGTTCCCACTGAATCAAAACCATTTGTACAATGATTCAGTAAAAATTTCAAAATGTAGGAACCTTGTTTTTTCGGCCTGCCATGTTGTTGTTTTTTTCGCCCGTTCGCATTAGATTTGGAATCTGCGGAGGACGTCATCCATAAAATTTACTTGCTGTGGCCTAATATCAGGCAATAGTTGACAGCGTTGCAAATGTGCATCAAAGTAACACAAAGATGCAAATGATCGATTATCAAATGAAATAATGAATCTGACCTTGTACTGTCAGTGTAGCTGTGCTGGTGGCTGCTCCCACCCGGTTGGTCAGCTGACAGGTGTACATGCCTCCATCAGACAGCTGAACACCTGTGATCCTCAGACTACCTCCATCCAACACTGAGAACCTGCGGACACAGACGGTACAGTACAGTTTGTAATTTCTGTTGTATCCGACAGGAGACGCTTTTGTACGGTTAGCCCGTACGAACTCTGCATGGAGCATGCTTTAACACCTTCAGAGGATTTTGTCATGCTGGACAAACAATTGATGATGGATGATAGGCCTTTATTGTACATTTATGCTCTAACAAGCTAAGTACAGGTCATATATAAAGCACAGAGATATCTCACTATACAAAATTTACAGATACCTCATTAAACATATTAATGTGTACACATTCGACTACTATGTACAATTTCAACTTCTTCATGATTCTTGCGATAGTTGTAGATGTATGAACATATGGCGCTCATAACACACGTTCAATCTTAAATAGGGGTCGTGTGGCGTGGAGGTAGCGTGTTCGGCCGAGGCCCGAGAGGTCCCGGGTTCGAATCCTGCCCGGTGTCACCGATCTTGTGCCCTTGGGAAAGGCACTTTACACGACTTTTCTCACTTCACTCAGGTGTAAATGAGTACCTAGCTTCGGTTAGGGACGTCCCTCGGATAGGACGTTAAATGGAGGTCCCGTGTTTGGGGGAGCCACACTCTACGCACGTTAAAGAATTCACCGCACTTATCAAAAAGAGTAGGGGTCCTTCCCGGTGTGAGTGGTTCAAACCTTACAGTCTGGTCTCAGGTTTGACATCTTGAAGAGGTGATATTCACCTGTTATGTCAATCCTTCCACAAATGTGGTAAAAAAAGTTTTTCTGTGCTATTTGAATTTTGAAAACTTATTTTGCACACAACCATAGAGGATATTCTCTCATTTCTATACAATGCACAGTAACATTCATCCTCAATTTTATCTAAATCACAAAATTGGTAAATTCTGTAGTGAATCCCTTACCTTCCTCCAAGCTGCACGTTTGCTCCGTTCTTCTTCCACGTGACCGTCGGCACCGGCACTCCGCGCATGCGCATATTGAAGACCACCGCTCCCCCAGCTGACGCAATGATTTCTGGGAGAAGCCGCAGTCCGAATGATGGCGCCTCATCTGTGGTGGAAGGAGGAAGAATAAAAAATCACATACTTCTTCTGTTATTACATTTACAGGCCGAGTTTAGTTTATGAATTTCAGTTTATTATGGAATGTACCAAATATGATGTTATACGTAACAAGCTATTTACATTTCTCGAATCAAGTATAACAGATTTCAAGAGTCTCGATGTTGGAGACAGATTTGAATATATCTTTACATGAAATGGTCCCCAAACGCAAAAATGGGTAGATATATAAAGGAATGCTTTGTTATTAGAAAAAATACCGAAACTTGTGATTAGCCCATTCGATTGAAACACTTTATCAAAGACTTGTGCTATCCCTTATTATTTGATTAATTAAGATATGTTAGGTTTTATTCGACATTAGGTCTTATTCAACAACATTTATTTTATTTGTTACTCTCTTTATGTAGTTTGCTATACATTGTACCATGTGCAATTGTCGTGCAATAAAGTTCTTCTATAAAGTTCTTATATATCTTAAATCATCATAAACACAAAGGCACGCTGTTTAAACCTAAAACTTTTGATCCAACACAAAATATTGTTCTCGCCTAGATCTAAAGCTTTCGACCAGTCACTTCAAAATGAGCTTCTTTAATAGACTGACCCAGCGAGACTATTTACATCAGGACCCATCACTCAACCGCGACGGGGGCCGACATCATTTACCAGATACCTTTGACGTCACACTTCAGAGAAGTCACGTGACAAGTCTCACTGGGTCAGTCTATTGAAGAAGACCAGAGTGACTGGTTAAAAGTTCTAGGTGAGAACAATCCCTTGTGTTGAAACAAAAGTTTTACCTTTAAACGTGTAACTACCAACACAGGTGGACTTTCATGACAACAAAGGCACGTTGTTAGAAAGATGTACATTTCGTTACCTTCTGCCCTGAGTTCTGCAGCACTGTTCGCCCTCCCCCATTGGTTGAACGCCACACACTGGTAAACGCCGCTGTCCTCCGCGCGCAATCCCGAAATGCTCAGCGAGGCAGTGGAACCGGAACTAGCCAACGCCACTCTTCCGCCTCCATTCAGAACCTACGTTTGTAAGAAGTAAGACGTTTTGATATACGTATGAGCATTTTGATGTCGCTTTTTAATTGCAGATGGGGTCGTGTAGCGTAACAGCAGAGTGCTCGTCTCAGAACCAAAATGTCCCGGGTTCGAACCCTGCCATACCACCGATCTTGTGCCTTGGGAAAGGCACTTACCACGACGTTCCTCACTTCACTACTTAAGGTGAAAATGAGTATTGTATTGTCCTCTGTGTTGGTGGTGGCATACAAATAAGTAAAAAAAAACTTGTGTTCTGCAACCCCGTCTTGTGATTACATGTTGGAATATAAAAAAAAACAAATTCTAATGGATTATTACAACGACCACTTCAGCCATTTTGTCCACGTGAGGCTTAGAATATTGACCTAAGATTATGAATATCATATCTATAGATTGATATGATGACTCAACCGGTTTGTCGTGCAGTTAATTAACTCAGGTGAGTCCTTTTCCTGGTCATTGTTTTGTGACCTTCACCACACGTGCGACACAGGATGTACTGTCTGTCTGGGGAGGATGTGGTCAATCTAGACACCTTAATGATAACATCTTACCAGACCGTCACTGTCTGTCAAGTCTGAGACGTTAAGTATTCGTAATGTCCTATAATTCACCAACAATAGATCATTTGTATTGTAACTAAAGCCCTTTGACTGTTTTAATGTATCTCTATTGGTTTTAGGAAAATGTTGATTCAGTGTCCTAGCGCATGTTAGGGTCTGTCTTTCCGTCATTTAACGGAAATTTGCTGCTCATGATGGACAAAAATTTTGCCCTATCCGTCATCTTTGATGGACAAAAAATTATAGGCGTGTAAAGATATGGACAAATAATGTCATTAAGATAGTCTACCAGCAAAATTTGCCCCTCTATTAAAAGGGAAGGGAAACGCGTTTCAGAGGGTTAAGATTTCAGAATTTTCCTTGGGAAGCATGTCCCCGATGATCCAAATGGATCGTCAATAGACATGATTTTACGGCAGACAAAATTGAGAAGACCGGAAAAAACGTTGGCTAAAACACTATGTTGATTGCTGAATCAGATGTTATTTTCCATTCACCAATTTCACACTTCCCATAATGCCTAGTAACGGTCACGGATATGCAGGGATATGACGTAAGACCATCCCCCCCTCCCCCTTCCTCGATGTACTATTTTCAACAAATTGTCAACTCGGTAATGCATGCGACCGTGCGAGTAGGAGAGTCTTCGGTAGAAGGTGGAACGATAGAAGGTACGTCATTTTCTCTAATTCCAACAAAAATGCAATTATGGCATGTTCTTTATACTAGATAAATAATTCAAAACAATAGTTGACCAGTTTGTCGATAGAATTTGTTGGAAATATTACATCGAGGAAGGGGGAAGGGGGGATGGTCTTATTATGGGAAGTGTGCAATTGGTGAATGCTGACCTCTGTCATAGCTGCTCATCCAGATTCTTGCCTACAGAATATAGTTGCCTCCAGAATGTTCTATAATAGTTGCCTACAGAATTCTTGCCTACAGAATGTTCTATGTTACCTGTCCGTTGTGCAGCCATGTATACGACACGGTGTAGTCCCCGTCAGTGCGGACCTCCCAGTGCGCCCTGCCGCCCAGCTCTACATGCTGACTGGACAGACCCTGCAGAAACTGGGGAACACCTAGAGAGACGAAAATAGTGACGTTAGAGCTATTTTTCCCTAGTACGAAGCCCATTAATATAGTGAAAAAATGAGTTGGAGGGGTGGCAAATTATTTTTTCAGATAGTACGAAGTAAAAGTAATTCTCTTAGAAGTGAAAAAAATGAGCTAACCCCCTAAGCTCATTTTGTCACTAAGTATATGATAATTCATAGGGTTAAAAGTACAAACAAACCACTAGTACTACTGTTTCTCTTAATTTGTCTTTTGCCCCATTTTACAAATTGTAACTAGTAAATGTGCTAGAGAATCAGGTTGAAATTTTAATTTGTGAGATTTAAAGAAAATCCCTCAGTCAAGTACTTAGCGCTTTAGATTTGTTTACTACAGTGTTATGTCCATTTTCATTTCTAGGTCTAGAACTTCATCACCGTTCTTCTACTTGTACGCTCGGGCCCGATCACATACGTTTTAAAATCGTCGTACAATCGCAAATTAGATCATTCGTGTAATTTTTGCAGAAAATTTAGATGCCTTGTAACAGAAAATGCTGTCTTTAGACCCATGTCGGTGATTGGTTCTGTCACGGACTGTGATTATACAAATTAGGTCTTAATTTACATAATCAATATCTGCCTGTGTTTCTCTTGTTCGCAATTACATATGCCACAAGCTTGAGTAGTTTTATCATGTAATGCAGCTGATTTATAAAATTTCCTCATAAATAGTGCAAAGTGACATCCATATTTGCATAATTGTCACATACTTATGTCAATCATCACTTAAGCTAATTAAAAACTACCTTGCACGATGAGTTGTGTGGAACCCGAGGCGGTGCCGCTAGAGCTGGCGGCCGTACACTCGTAGAACCCCGCGTCCTGCAGGTCCAGTTTGGTGATGATGAGAGCCTGGTTCCACTTGTCCAGGTAGTGGTTAGACGGGAGAGGCATCTCCACTCCGAACTGGTCCAGACGCCTCCAGCTGATCCGCGGAACTGGACTGATGGAGAAGGGAAACATCGAATATATTGATAATCATATCGATTATGAATATAAGCCGCTATACCTTTACACACCTCACCCTGACATACATGAAAAGTGTCCGATATACTTTACAGATTGATGCTAAAAATCATATAGTACAACGTATTTTCATTCTTTGAGAAGGACGTTATAAGTGCATTTAAGAGTGAACATTTTTAATTAGGATATTAGAATGTTTTTTATATATTCCAGCATAAAATCACAAGACGTGGTGACGGCACACTCAAGTTTTTTCAACTTATATTAATGCCGCCACCAACACAGGGGACAATACAGTACTCATTTTCACTTGAGCGAAGTGAGGAAAGTCGTGTAAAGTGCCTTTCCCAAGGGCACAAGATCGGTGGCGTGTGAGGACTCGAACCCGGGACCTCTTGGTTCCGAGTCGAGCACTCTGTCCCTACGCCACACGACCCCACTATTAGAATGTTATGTATGTATTGTGTAAATACTGCTTGACTTGTTGACTTACTTTCCGTACGCGAAGCACTCCATTCTGACGGTCGTTCCCCGCAGAGCCGACACGCTCCTCTCGGACACAGCGAGCTGGGGCGCCACCTGGCCTGGCGCTGCGGAATGACAGTTAGACAACCGTTCTCTCAGACGCTTGAAACATTATGTCATTCAAAGTACACCCAGCTGATTCACTGGCACAATTACTACAAGAGTACTACTACATAGATCAAGTAAATGCTCATTTTGTTGAAAAAATGGAAAGTAAAAACTCTTACTACTTCTACTATACTACACTACTACTACTACTTACTAATACCACTACAACTGCTACTACTACCACCACCACTACCACTACTACTACTACTACTACTACTGCTGCTGCTGCTACTACTACTAGTAGTACTACCACCACCACGACCACCACTACTACTACTACAACTACTACTACTGCTACTAGTAGTAGTAGTAGTAGTAGTAGTAGTAGTACTACTACTACTGCTGCTGCTGCTGCTGCTGCTGCTGCTGCTGCTGCTGCTACTTCTACTACTACTACTACAACTACTACTACCACTACTACTACTGCTGCTGCTACTACCACTACTACTAGTAGTACTACCACTACTACTTCTACTACAGCTACTACTACTACTACTACTACTACTACTACTACTACTACTACTACTTCTACTACTTCTACTACTACTACTACTGCTACTACTACTACTACTACTACTACTACTACTACTACTACTACTACTTCTACTACAGCTACTACTGCTACTACTGCTAATTCTACTACTTCTACTATACTACTACTACTACTTACTAACAGTACTACTACTACTACTGCCACTGTACTACTGGTAGTATCCATGTAGAACTCACGTCTCCTGGTGACCCTGAGGGTGATAGGCGGACTGTAGCGGCCCTCTATGTTGATCTCGTTCAGCGGCGAGTGGTCGGTGGAGCTCTGCACCAGACAGTGGTACTGCCCGGCGTCAGACTCCGTCACCTGCGCGAAGTACAGGTCCCCCGAGGTCTCCGACACGAACACGCGGTCGTCCTGATCCACGAAACTCGGGAACTGAGTCTTCACCCAATGGAACACCAGTCCTGCGAGTAACAACAGTCAAATTTAAAACGCCATACCCATATACCGAATGAAACTTTATTGCATGTTCATTCCCGGGGGGATAAATGCACGGATGTACAAAGTACAATGTACTAGAGAGTACTACAACAATAGTAATAAAGAAAGGCTAACATCAGGTCTAAGGTATACAATGCTAAAAAAAGAAATATATAAAACCAACAAGCTTTTTCTCGTTGTCCCTTCTCGAGTTGAAAACAGCACTTTTCTTCTATATGGTTATAGCGTTTTAAATCTTCCTAAAGAGCTTGACTTCTTTCTTTTGAAGAAAGTAGTATATTGGGTCCGGAGAGCCGAAAGATTACGCGTAATGTTTTGTTGAACTGAACTGAACTGTTTTGTTGCAAACATTCAACATTACTGAAAATTTTGGTTCAGTTGGTATGTGCAGTTTAAGTCAAGAATCGCTAGGGGTCTGACGCAGAGAAGAAGAATACACCGTACCGGGATGTCCCTCTGGCGGGCTACACACCAGTCTGGCCCCGTGTCCCTCCAGTACAGTCATGCCGGGTCGTGGGTCCGTCGAAAACCGTTCCACAACTATGGTAGACAAACGGGTATCACAGATGAGTAAAATCGTCGACAAGGCTGTCCAATAGTGGACATGATAGGGCAGGCTTCTGATGCAAAGGTGCAGATGCATGTAATGTTTTCATTAAGTAAGTTTTCTTAAGTTAGTTTTTATTTCTTACAAGATGAGGTCGTATAAGTCGTTTTATACTCATTAAATCTTTTGATGTCACCTTTTCATGCCACCAAAAATCACCTTTCAAACTTCTAAACTTTTACTAACTACAACCTGTTAAACTTCCAAAACCCACTCCTTGCAGAAAAAAGTGGGACACTTCGTCTTCTATAGCTTCAAAAAAAAAAGACTTGCAAATAAGATGTACTGTATTTACAATATATATGTATCGGTGTAGAGATATTGGGCCGGGATACTACATTGGGCAGGAGATCAAACTGCATGTAGAAAAGCCCGGTACTTTTGAATTTATAATTTCACTCACAGGCAAACGTGAGGTTGCTCGGCCTGCTGACCACAATGCCGAGGTCATTAAAGGCCAGACACTCGTACAGTCCTGCATCACGGTCCTTCTGTGGGCTGTCAATCACCAGGTTTCCACCAATCAGCGTCAGCCTTTCATCCTGCAGCAGGGAAGAAGAATTTTAGATATGCTAGAGTTTTGAAAAAGCTCGCAGTTCAATCCGAACAGCAAACAAAGTGATTAAAGACAAAGTAATAATACAATGGGATAAACATGTGACCCAAATATCATTTTTGTCTCAGAAGACAGAACAATGACTTCGCAAGAAGCTAAAACATCATGGAACAAAACTATTATTTTGTCAAAAATGCTTGAAAAAAAGCTTGCATTTTTTGACTCCACAAAACTACTTGGCTTTAGATACAATGTACAGTATTTGATTTTGTCAAATAGTGCTTGGGAAAAAAGCTTGCATTATTTTGATTCCGAATCCACAATTTTGCTATGTATAATCATTTTATAGTCTAGATTTTTGAAGTGCATGTTCATCATGAATCGTCAGGTGGCGCTCACCGCCTGTACGTTGAGCTCCTGTCCGTTCTTCCTCCAGCGGTACTGCGGCGCGGGGATGCCCTCCCCCCTGCAGTTCAGCGTGACCCGCTGGGTGGAGGAGGACGGGTCGTACACGATGTCCTCCGGTTGGACGATGATTCTCGGCGTGACCACCTCCTCATTGCCGAGCACCACTGTGAACACGTACGGTTGTGATTAAACTGTCTTTTTTTTAATTCAAACATACAAATGCAAATGTAATCACAATCTTAAGCGTTTGACGTAGTTATTAGCGTGAAAATGAAATCGTTTCTGCATATTTATGTACGTAACTACTAAGGATTCTAATACCAGCTCAGAAAAGAACATTATGATATTATCAGTCATATCTTCAAGTATCAGAGTTATGAAGGATTGAGGTGTTCAAAAACTTTTTTTCTAGAACTATCGTAGAGTGGAACTCGCACACGGTAAGTACAGTTGGGACAACATTACTAGATGGCTTTAAACAGGTCTTGCAGTTAAATGTGCAAAGTTTAAGTGTAACAAGTCACTCAGTGTAATATGCCACCGCGCCGCGTGCCTTCGAAGCTGGTGTGTTACGCCGAGGGTCGGTTCTACCGGCTATTCAGATGTAGATATGTATAAATCTTTAAGCTGTACGCAATGCCATGATAATGAGGGCGTGGCATCCAGGTGTGTGTGTGCAGACAACGGTCATCACGATGTGAGAAGCTGGGAGCTTCATTCGAGGGCGTTTCTCACAACAGCGTGCACATTGTGTGTTTGTTTGTAAATTTGTTACTTAGCAACAGAAACTCTACGAAGAAAGTTATTTTGCATCGGGTTGTGTTGTACGTCCCCCATTTTTTGGCCAACTATGGAATTAGTCGCAAGCAGTCCAATTTGATCGTCGATAGCCGGCTACCTTCTCTTGCCAATTGATACCCTTTTTAGGCCGATTTCTACGATTTATTCAGCCTGTAAAAGAAGTATTGTGGAGACTACAATGGAATGGCATTTGGGGGCTGCGTAAACGATGCAATGGAATGGTTTTTGCGTAGCAACATTTCGTTCAAATGGGAAAAAAACTAAGTGAATTTCTTTACATATTTAGTCGTATTAGAGGCGTTTCGTGGTAGACTTTGTCTTTTTGGCGTCTTAACCATGAAACACCACTTATATCTGAAACACACACCCACCCCACCCCCACCCCGCTCGCTCCCCGGCCACACACATACACACACACACACACACACACACACACACACACACACAGTACCATGTGTTGTTACTATGTGTCTGTGTGTGTATGCATTTTGGCAAGGGGGTAGAAGAACTAATGCAAACACAGAAAGTTTATATTAGTGGCGCCGCTGAATAGACAACACAAAATAAGACAGAATACACATTCAAGGATGAGGAAAGTAGGAGAATCAAGGAAATAAGAGATAGGATACTATGATTATAACAGCACTTTGGTATAAAACATACAAATGTAGCTTTTGCTCACATTTCTATGACTATGTTATTAGATTTTCAAAAGCGCTGCTCCAAGTGGCTTTTTATCGAGAAAGATTATCTTCGCTATAATCAGAAGCCTCCCTTTTTTATTCCAATGAGCGAAAAAAAAGTGGCGGGGCAAGATATTCTTACAAGTCCCAAAGGAAGAATCAAAAAGCCCATGAGACATAAAAATCCCTCTTTTCAGACTACAAAAAAATGCAGATGTCTTTCTTTGTATCAGGTGTCAAATTTTTCTTCTTTGCCAGATTCAAATGGTTGTTGGAAAGTATTTTTAATTGGCCAGATAGAAGAAATCATATACCAGAAGAGATCGCCGGTCATAAACCTACAATTTCCAATCCACGGCGAACATGTACATGTATTTTCTACAACAATAGCTTGCAAAGTGGTCATGACATAAATTACGAGAAATAGATGAATAATCAAATTGTGTTTTTCAGTACTTTTATGTTGTTTCGAATGTCTTACCTATTTTTTTCTACACTTTCCCTTATATTAAGATCTATATTTCTGTAACCATGTTATTTCATAGTATTACCACCTGAATGGACTAAAAGCCATCCTGTCACCCCTATTAGATTATAATGGTACGCCCCATAGGGACAAGATTACTTATGTAGATATTCCAAGTTGTCTTAAGGCCTTCGGGATTAAGATGATAAGTTATCAATCAACTATACCTTTTCTTATTTAACATGGAATCTTAATTATGCAAACTATCTTCGAATTCATGCTAATCAGGTGTACGAAAATAGCTACTTTTAAAAGTATCCAATGTAATTTCAGGGTAATGTTCCGACAAAATAAAAAATATTCTGGATGAGGAAATTTGTCTGATATTGACATTTACTGCCATTTCTTAGCACTTTTTTTTCATTATTTCATACAAAGCATTTGAAATAGCTCAAAAACAAGTAAGTAAGGGGTCGGCCCCTTTTTTGGGTACCGCCCATAAAAAGCTAGAATCGGCCTACCATACAAAACAAGCGACCGTTTTCTGTCTGCAACAAAGCATTTTCACCTCACAGATATCAGTATGCTTTTGGATAGGATTGATTCAACTTTTACTACATTAAAAGAATGACCAGAAAATTGACTTTGAAAATCCAGTTTTGTCGCCCTGAAATTACATTGAATGCCATTAACGCTACGATTTTACAAGAAAGTATGAAACCAAAGCCTCGTAGACTGTTGGCGCCTAACCTTAGAATTATAATTCCACAGCCTTGGCGAGAGGAAGTACAACTCTTTCCCCCACACGGCATTTAAGTTCTCACAGAAAAGAACAATCCATGCGTCCAGAATTTCAAGCGATGGGTGTGAACGCTTGGAAACGTGTTGAAAACAAAGTCACGTTCTGTCGCGACCCTGGCGTTTCATGTGGGCCCGTTCAACCAACTCATAAACTACTGGCGATGAATACTTTCCATTCCGACTCAAACATTAGCCTCCATAGCATGCCAAAAACTGGGGGTCTTCAGCGTCTTTGGGAGCTTTTATGTGCTATTTTCTGATTGCATATAGACAACATAGCCATCCTGGTTGAATTACCCCCGTTTTTTTGAGAACTGGGCTAATCAGAAAACAGCCGAAGATCACCAAACCCCCAGTTCTATATGCCTGCTACGGAGGCTACTCAAACATAGGCTTTCATCTAAACGTTACAAAATAAAACTGTATTAGAATTGTTTGAAATGTCTTACCTGCGTTCGCAGTGCACGTAAAACACGTTACAAGCAACGTGGCCGCCCAAACTTGTCTCCACTTCATCTGTGGGAAAAAAGAAACATGTAAGGCCTTAAGAATAATGAGATTCACAACATAAAAAGCCTATGTTTGCACTTTGACCACGAGATAAATATAGAGTACAAAAGATACACGTTGTCCCAAACTCGGGAATGCTTACAAAAGTTAACCCCCAAGTCCTACCGCTATTAATCTGAGACAAGCCTTAAATTCTTAAGAACAAACCTTAAATTTAGATACTTTTTCCTCGCGTCCAGTGTCCTCCTTGAAATGAAGAGTAAAGCGCATTCGCTACTTTATAACGAAAAGAAGACAAGACGCGACCGTATGAATCATCAGAGATTACAGAAGCGGCGGACGAGCTTCCTCCTCGCGCTGTTGTTCCGCGGGTGAAAGACGAGAGGCCAGACCGGCGGGGTAAAACTTTCCCGCGGGGCAAAGGGGCCGGTCTTTGTCATTCAAAACTCAAGCGGTTGGAACAGAATGACGGCATCCAAACGCAAAACATCTTTAACCATAAAAACTCACGATTACAACCAAATGTTTCTTATCTATAGGTCAGATTTATACAGTAGGCACGTCTCAGCAACCAGAAACCAAAATAGGTAGGAGTAATACGAGTTGAAGTAACTTTTTTTTTTCAAAAATGAGTGCGTTTGGATGCCGCGGGGCACGGACGTATGCAAAATGGGGGCCGAAGTCTGCCCTGTCCCAGGCATGATTACTGAGTACCCGCGGGGGGTTTTGTTAAGCCTGAACAGTTCGTCAGACACCTGAATACCTGGGGAGAATCAACACGTTGTCTCTCGTGTGGTCTTTTTGCAAAACTAGGAGGCAGATGCGGCAGGGCGACATGCGTCATCGTAAAAGTGGTATACAGCCTTGTCTGGGTGTATTCATGCACGGTGAACATGCGGGTCACGTCCATTAAAAAATGTCAAACTAGCGTCATTGTGGGGACGGCTCCAGAAGGCGTTAGCCATTTTAGTTTGTAGCATACAATACACATGACGACTTTGTTCGAATCTTGCGGTAGTACAGAATAGTTTCGATGTGCAATTCTGTATTAAGGAGTATAAAAGAGGCTTGAACTGTCTCACAGATACGGCTTGAGACTATTACGTTTTCATGGATAATAAAAAAAGCATGGAAAAACTGGTTTATGAATTATATGACGAACGGACACCCATTCTACACAGAAGCGTTATACGCATATCATACACTGTGAACACCGATACCACCAAACGATCATCAACAAAAGAAATACCATGTACGTATGGACCAATACATGAAGTATAGTAGTAGTGAAAATCTACATGACACGGGTAGAAAATTAAGTCCACTTTCAGAAACACACCACAAAAAAAAAAACCAGTCTTACCTTTCAATACAAGTCTTGTGCTGTTTTTAAAAGACACAGTTCCGTGATGTGGTCCGTGTACTTGGCCGTAAACAAGCCGGGTCGCGCTGTGGGGAGTCTTTGTGACCGACAGACGCTGTCTCTGCTTCTCCGTGTCCAGAAAGTCAAACAGCCGCCTGGGCGAAGCTGAGTTGAACGGTGAAGCCCGAATTAAAATTCAACAACTATTTCTCCAACTACAAACTCCTCGCGATGCTTCCTTGGCAAATAAGTAAACGGTTTACTCTTAAGACACGGTCCTGCCACGCTCCCCTTAAGAACACCTTTTAGAAGGCTGAAGTTCGGGACAAAAAGCAGGTGAGACAATATTTACGTTAAACAGGATACCTGGTTTTCTTCGGATTCCTAAATTTCCTGCGAAAACGGTGTTGTAGATTTCTCGGAACACACTCCGTGCCACACTTTGTAAGCTTGTCGACTGAAATAACGCTCCAGGTTTACCCACACCAGTTTAAGGAGACGTTAATTGTTGCGCTCGTTGACTCATAACAGGTAGTCCTAGACATTTTTGTATGTCTGTGTGCGTAGGATGGAATAATAGGCAGTCTGTTCGCCGTAATAACGGAACTTCACAATCGCACATGTAAGCAGTACTAACCTTCCCCTAGGCGTTCTATTGTCGGGACATTTCTTCATGTATTTACTTCTAAGATTAAAAAAATGTTTAAAAATGATAACAGAAAGATTCAATTGTATATTTGATTTTTCTTTTAAACCATTTTGTAGTAGATTGTTGTTTTAGATGCTTAAGGCCTCATCAATTTAATTTCTTGGTTAACGGATTTTTCTAGAATAATAATGGAGCGGGCGGGCGAAAAAAACAGACCTAGGCATCCTATTATGGCCCAAAATGGTACGATAGGAGCCATGAAGTCAACTCACCAGGCTGGTTCAAAATTTAAACAATGAATTTTGAACTTTTATTGATACCACTGCATTGAAAGATGGAATAACTGTAACAACTAGGAAGAAAAGTACTGTTTTCAACTGTTCAGGGCAAAATATGAGCATTTTGCAGTTGATTCTGAATTTTTATTTTTATTTGCAAATTACAAAAAAAAAGCGGGCGAATCCGTTAACCAAGAAATTAAATTGGTGTAGCCTAGGCGCTTTTTTTCACTTGAATTATTTGCCAAGGTCGGTCTATAATACTCCATGTTATGTACACATGTCATCGCTTGCTAAGCTGAGTACAGATCTTTATCTACAGACACGTTACCCAATAACATTGATGTTCACAGTTCTTGGTTATAATTAGAAGAGATCTTTGTTTCCCAATTTTCATCTCTTTCAGCAGAGAGCACATGGGTCAGAAATTAGGGTGACATTCGTGATGGAGAAAGGGAATAGTTACTCATTATGATGTCACCGGATATTCAGCTTTGTTTTAATTTTTTCATATTTAGACCTCTTACCTCTCAGTACAACCTGCATGTTGTGTGTGTTTATGTAGTATGTAGTTAAGCCTTGACATGTTGTAACGTTAGTAGTATGTAGTTAAGCCTCATCACGTTGTAGTAGTAAATGTGTATAACGAATCATTAGTATGTATGGAAATTCAGTCTGTACAAACTAATGGAGATCGGTTTAATAAACAATAAACAATCTTATATCAGTGAAAATGGGGATTATTAGTCAATGAAATAACCGCATATTCATTATACATATGACGTGGTGTGTACATATGATTTCATACATATGTATATGTCATCCTTCTGTAAATACTAACTATGGTAAAACCCCAATTGATAACAGCCCTACTGCTTTGGCTATGGCTGAACAGTCTTTACGCCAAGCGTCACTTAAGCTACCTACATACCAAAAATCATGACGATCCGTCAACCGGTTCGTGAGTTATCCTCTTTTGGATATTTTTAAGGAAACGCCCCTGCAGTTCCAGAGCAAGCCGCTAGGGGGCCCAAACCTACGCCACTTCTTCCTCAGCACAAGAGCTACTTAGCACCCAAATTTCGTGACACTAGCACGTCCAGATCATGAGATATCAAGTTCCGCTGCAGTACTACAACAAGCCGTCAGGGGGGCCCAAAATCTAATTATTTCTAGGTCTGATCAAGACCTACCAACCTACCAAGTATGAAGACAATCCATTCAAGCCTTCTCGAGTTATCGTGTTTACAGACAGACAGACAAACAGACAGACAGACACATGAACGCCTCTGAAACCATAACCTTCTTGGCGAAGGTAATGACAGTCTCTGCCACATAGGGCACACCTGTGAGCTAACTCTAGTCTCTATCTGCCAGGCTTCGGGAAGCGGATGGAAAGAGTTCTCGGTCAAATAGACAGGTAACATACCGGGGGAGTTGGTCTGCCCTAAGAGAACATTTTGACGCTCCTGAACATTTCTCTCCGCGCGAGCCAAATCTCCTGACATATCATCTGTCTGCTTGGCCGATTTCTACTCTTTTCCTGAAGCCTGGTAGAGGCTAAGCTGACACGTGTCTGTTGCAGAGTTAATTTTTAATTAATTTTTAAGACGCTTATGATTACTGATATAATCACTCAGCAAGGAATGTTTTTCTGATTTCCTTGGTACATCCTGTCCAGTCATGTATGACCGCCCACTTTGTAGCTGTACTGTTTGTCTACCTCCCACAAACCCAGCCGACAGCGGCAGTCAAAATAAACAGAGGAAAGAAGAAAACGGCTGAGTCAATCTTTTTCTCCCCCTGGCCTTCGTTTGAAGTAGCCTCCTGTGCAGGCTTCGAGTTGGAGAGCGTTTGTTTCTAAGGGCGGCTAGAAGTGTTTGTTTTGTTTTGTTGTTTTTTTTGTGTGTGTGTGTGGGGGGGGGGGAATCCAAGCAGATCTTTCGGTGCTCGCAAAGACAGTTACTGTATTATGAACGAAAGACCTTTATTGTACATTTTTTGCTCATTGTGAACTAAGAACAGGTCACGGTAAATAGCGATGGTAGACTAAAATATATCTATAGTAAAACTACATATGCACAGGTTCTGCTTCTTCTCGCTTCTTAAGACAGTTGTAAATGTAAGAACAGATGGAGCTTATAGTGCGAGGATTATCGAGTTTCATGAGGAAAGTGAATTTTTCTTTTCTATCTAAAAATCTAAAACTGTGGAAATAATATTGTATACAATTGAAGAGAAGTTTTCGTTATTATATAGAGTAATGAGAGAAAGATTCTGTATAAAATTGGCCAGGCACTATCCATTTGCCAGACTGTATACATTGGCCAGTGGATGTCAAATGGATACTACCTGGCCAATTTGAAGTCTGCGAAGAAGTCTGCGAGCGAGGCTACGCCTGACTAGACCGACCACTTGTCAGACAACCTTGTGACGTCATAACCAGGGTGACCCTGGGGACGAGTCAGGTGTGTTGCCGGTCACGTGACGCGGCAGGATGAGTAGTTAATTAACTGTCATGGCTACCGGTATTGTCTGACGACCCGTGTGACTTGACTAATTTCCGACGCGACAACTTTCATTGTCTTCCCCCCGGGAAGCGTACTAGACAGGTGGCTTTCTTCTGTAAACCGTCTTGTACTGATCTTACAGAGCTGATAAAATTCATCGTCTCAAAATCCGCTCAGACTATGAAAAGATATTGGATATATTGTCGAGGGTGTACAGAATTTTTATATGTACAGAAATGTACACAACAAGCAACAATTAGCAACGAAAATTTTCTCTTAGTGAATTTCTAGATTGCATTTTTCTGTTAAAACGCCACTTGTCATACTTGTCAAGAGATCACACACCCCGAGGCTCTGGCCTGGCTCTAGGCCTGGGTAGTCGATGGTACTATAGTAGTATCGACAATACGGAGCCGGTGGTAACTCTGGAGAACGGCACCCAGGCTAGCCGCCGAAGCTCCACGACTCAAGAACTCAGTACATACGTACAGTGCAGACTCATAAATTCCGCAAAAAGTGAGCAATTGCCGGCTTGTCACATACGTCGCTAAGTACTTCCGCAAATTCACAGTACCAGCTTTGTATTCCTGTGGTTTAGTAGCATTTTTATTTTGGGCCGGACTTTTTTTATTCGCCCGCGCGCACTAATTTGGGGGTCTTAAGAGGATGTCATCCATAAAATTAAGACGGTGTGGCCTAGCATACGAAAAAATACGTCACTCATGTGGTATTTCTGTGTAGAAAACCTCTCGCTGTGGCGTGTGCAATGTCCTTGTATATATGAATACTTCCGTTCCGTTATACTATATTTGTATCCACCCCCGAAAGCCGGAAATTCTGTGTAGGATTTTGGATTTTCTTGTGTAGAGAACGCCAAATTTGGGCACAAGAATGTGAGTTATTCAAGTAGATTGAGTGTGACATGGGGTTTAGACATTACGGAGCAACTACGTGTAACTTAATAACAAAGATCCTTATCATATATAGCTACATGTTGTATTACCTCCAGAAAACTCCACTTACTTTCTCAACATTGTACCCAAGTATGAAGAAGTACATTACAAGAACATTCAAGTCAACCCCCCATATTCAGCTTTAAATCTTCTTGTAATTTGGACTCGACATTGCAATTTAAAGCTGTACAGTATTGAACGTAAATACAACCATCAAAGAGGCACGAATTTTCCTGCACCCATTCCTAGAGCTCTGAAACTATACGATAATAGCTAATCTAATACTATGTAGGTTAACTGTAGAAGGCTTCAACTTTATAACTAGCTTGCTTTTGAATTGTATGCCGGTGATTGTTTTTAAGGCCACAGCAAATAAATTTTATGGATGATATCCTCCGCAGACTCCAAATCTAATGCGAGCGGGCGAAAAAAACAAGGTTACTGCATTTTAATTTTTTACTCAATCATGGTACAAATGGTTTTGATACAGTGGGAACATCACATATACACAGCCAGCATCACATGTCACTGCATTAAATCAGAGTCTTTTCTTGTCTCCTCTCTTCATAGTTACGTATCTGCCATCCACCTTCCGGCATGGCAACAGACATCTTTGCCCATTTTCAGCATGTTGACCACTGTCAGAAGGCAACAAAATTTCCTTTTTTTTCCAAAATCAGCCGAAAACTATTGCGCGCGCTGATGTCATCCATACAAATTACTTGATGTAGCCTTACCTATTTTAACATGTTTGTACACCCGTAATATGTGTAATTGCTTGAGACCTCGAGATTATGTAAGTAATGATTCCTGGGTAACTATCAACAGATTTTATTGTGAAATGACTAAGACTCAACTTTCTCTACCAGCACTACAATGAACTGGGACTTACTCCAAATTTTCGGCTGACTTCACAATGACTTGTACCAACACAGATGAACTTTCATGCTAAACAGATTTTATGTCAACATGGAAATGTGGCATGCAAGTTGATTGTAATAATTACGATTTGAAAGACTATAAAGAAAAACTACAAAGAAACATACGTCTGATTAAGTTGCTACTAACAGAAGAGACGTCACGAAAACTATGGATACAGTAGCGGAAACCGTGTTTCCGTTTCCGGTCACTCCGTCGTTCGGACAGGTGTCCGTTTCCGCCATTTTCCGGATGACGTTGTTCCAGAGTTCCATGCGCCTGGTCTGGAGGAACCGCCCATTCGACAGCGGCCCGTCAATCACCAGATGGGATCTGTTCTCATTGGTGAACGGCTGCCACGTGACTCCGCCGATAGGAGATGGCGTAGGATTCCTTCATGGTAAAAAGTGAACACAAATGATTTCATGTCACCGTCTTAAAGTTTGTTAAACATTTCAATCTGATTTTAAATGTTACAACAGTATCTGTATCTGTATCGGTATAGCAGGTATAACCGCCCTTCGGTGTAACACACCACCTTCGCAGGCACGCGGCGCGGCGGTAGCTAGCTATATCACACCGAACGACTTGTTACACTTAATCTTTGCACATTTGATTGCAGAAGTTGTTTAAAGCTTTCTAGTGATGATGCCCCAACTGTGCTTGGTGGCAACGAATTCCAGTCTACGATAGTTCTGGGGAAATACGAGTTTTTGAATACCTCAATTCTTGGTTGATAACTCTGATATTTGAAGGCATGACTGTTTCTTTTTCTTTTCTGGGCTGGTATCAGATACTTAGTGGTTAGTACGTCCAACGTTGGTACGTAAACCAATGGATACAGAAGACACAACATGCACAAAATCGAACTACACAATCCGCTTCACCCCACGTTCTTCTTCTTGGCTTGGCTTCGTGTCCGAAGATTTAAGGGTCCTTCCCTCCCCCACTGCATGCCCGCTGGTGGCTGACAAGTCCGATGCGTGACCGGCATACTCGGCCACAGTGGCTGCAGGTAAGTGACGAGTCTGGTGTTGGAGCCGTGACGGCGCGGTTCTTCCTCTTACTGCGTTTCTCTTCGAGGGCAGTTCTGCGTCTCCTCTCGAAGGCAGAGACTGAGTCATGAACTGTATGTCGCCAGGCAGCTCGGTCAGTGGCAAGAGCTGACCACTGACTATGGTCGATGTTGCACGAAGACAGAGATTTCTTTAGACAGTCCTTAAATCTCTTCTTTGGTGCTCCTCTGTTTCGGTGCCCGGTAGACAGTTCGCCGTAGAGGACAATCTTGGGCAGACGATGGTCCTCCATTCTAGAAACATGCCCTGCCCAGCGCAGCTGTGTCTTCAGCAACATGGCCTCGATGCTGAGG